ATAATATGAACGGCATAGTGGGAGTTTCAGCAGGTGCAGCAGTGGGAATAATACGAACTCATCTTTGCGATGAATCGCTAAATGTAAACATTATACCCGGAGATTTGACAACTAATGCGCTAATCGTTAGTGCCTGGGACATAGCGAAGAATCGAAGGTAACGTCAATTAATCACGTTTATTCGAAATATTTTCGATCGAATCAAATGACGATTAGAAAAAATTAAATTACCGCTTACTGTAATCTTTCAGATCCATCGAAGAAATTCCTATTTATAATTACACATCTACGGATAATCCAATCACTTATAAGGAATTAAGAAAAATGTCGAGGAAGAAACTTGAATTATTACCGACTAACGAAGCAATTTGGTACATAAGCTTTTGGAATACAAAATATCGACCAATTTATCTTATCTACATGTATTTTCTACATATACTACCGGCTATTATAATCGATACGATTTCGTTATGTATAGGTAAAAAGCCAAGGTAATTTTTTTCTTATTTTTTAGTCGTATTCGATGCATCCTATGGTTGATGTCATTCTCAGATTCTCAAAAAACTCGATTCAATCAACCTATTTCAAGTTTAAAAATTCCGTAAAACGTGTGTTTGGTCTTGTTGAGCTTTCTAAGTTCTCATCTAGGGTTAGCAATGATTCGCATGTTTCGACAATTTTTCGAAGAACAAACTGATCATCAAACAATTTAGTTTAAACTTATCTTCCCATTAATCTATAATTAATTCGTATCAAAATGGTACATGATTGAATTTCTAGGCTAACTATGCGGTTATTTACACCCTTGTCAGCACCTTCTTTTCTTAAGTACATAATGATAATCACATTATTCATATGATAATTCGCCGGTATCATGCATCTTACGGACTGAATGAAAGACCATTTGTCATAATTAAATTTCCCCCTTTCCAAAAAGTCATTAGAAATTCGAGGTATCTTTTTCCTAATTACTGTCATGTTCCTTAATAGTCCGTAAAATTCTGATAACAAAATTGGATCTCCTATCTCCTTTCTTTTAGTAGCCGATCTTTCTTTATCAATTTCTTTAACATCTATCAGACTTGTATTTTTTCTATAACACTTATTTACTCTTTGAGTTTCCTATATTCATATATTTTTCTTATCTTTATATGTAACTTTAATTATTTTTATATATGGCACCTATCTTTTCAACAGTCATACAATTTTTTAAAAATTTACGCTTGCGTTTAAGGTTATTCAAAATATATAAAAAAATTGATACAATGTCGAATATAGTGAATTATTTTACTTCTACCAAATTGAACTTTACTAATAAAAGATGGAACGAACTGTTAAGTAAGTTAACGACGGAAGATCGCAAATTTTTCTCTTGTGATATAAAGAATCTCATTTGGGACACATACTTTGAAAGTTACGTTCTAGGCATAAGAATGTACATCTTAAAGGATCCCATTGAAACGCTTCCACAAGCTCGTATAAAATGGCGAAGGTATCTTCTTTCTCATCGATCGTCTATTATTCACAATGACCTTCAAATAATACTTGTCTTTTTAATTTTTAAGACTTTACTGGATACATCAAGCATTAAAACTTTTTATTGTCTGTGTATTTCCTATGATAACTTGGGTCATGATATTCAGACACTTTTAACGTTCGAATATGGATAAAATAAACAACTGACGTTAAGGAGAGTGACAATACAACTTTGGGAAGTTTTTTTTTTTGTTTGAAATTAATATCAATATAGTCTAATTATTATTGTGTAAATAATATTAAGATCTTCTCTACATAATTCTTTATATGAGTGTTAATCATTGCGCCTGAAAATAGACTGCAATCTGTACTCTGTAGATATAAGCGAATTCTCCTTCAAATGAGGGTATAGTACTTAATGCGAATTGAATTTCAAAGTTGTATAAGAATGTATCTTTCTTAAAAATCATGATAATAAATATATTTTCATATTAATTATGATTACAATCATCTTCTTCTTTTTCATAATTTTTAGATATTATTACCTTATTTTCATTTACAAATATTTCCTATTATATCTGGATAATTTGTAATTGAAATTGAATATTTCATTTTAATTTCAACCAGTTCATCTTTAAATCTGTTAAAATAAGATTAGAGGAACTTAAGAAGAAATGAAATTTATACCGTATTAGATCTATAGAATTTAATCTTCTAAAAAACCGGCAATCACATCTTGACTACCTTACAATATCTTAACAAAAAGTTTACCATCTTACATTTAATTTCGAAAATAATGAAGGGAAAACTTTTTATAGCAAAATTGTTAACTGTTATGTCTCAGGTAAGACGGCAAATGGCTATTCCATAAGATATTTTAATATTTTGGAATTAATATCGATACAGAAATTTGAATTAATTGACAAAAGCCATGGACGCATATCATAATTTTTCCATATATTTCATTGAGAATAAATATAGTAACTGAGAAAAATATATGTAAAAAATGATTTTTTAAACCTATTATCATGTATCTATGCCATAATGTAGTTATGTAAATATCATTTAAATACATGTATCTTACTTGTCTCAAGCTCTAGAATAGATCGCAGAAAAAACATCTTGCTTCTTTACATATTTCAGGAATGATAGCAATTGAGAAAGTGTAACGATTTCTCTCAGTCATATTTACGAATTACAATAACTATAGATTGATTAGATTCAAGGGATTTCATTTTTGAATAGTTTCAAGAAAATACATTTCCATATCCTCCTCGTTCGCTTCACTTTTGTAAGATACCGAAAGAAAAATATTAATATCTATCTCTGTTACTCTTTCAAAAAATTATTTAAATTGTAACAATAGATAATAGCTCTGAATAACATATAATATTGTGAAAAACAGCATTAATTTATAATAATACCTGATGTTCATCTTTCCAGTTATGACGTTTCTGCCTATTCTTCATTTTGAAACAATATTTTAAAATCGCATTTAATTTATCTAATTTCAATTATATTGTGTGATACTTGATAATTGATTCGGGTGACATCATGCGGCAGTAACTTGTATTCTTTCACCGCGGCGTTCTAGCGCCATTGTTATTGGGGTACGTTTATTTCATAATTGCTCTTTCATATTAAAGCTTTCATAACATATCGACATTTGCGTGCGGGCCATATTTGGATGTCTTAACGACCCTGGTGAACGGGTGACCGGATCGAGACCAGGAGATGGGCAATTTTGTAAAGATTAGAAGTGTATGAAAAATTAGCTATTTTTTATAAAATTCTTGTTTAGTATACAGATATAGCGATATATTATTCTAACAATTTTTCAATCTATTTTTGCTAATGCATATATTTTCTACATTATGTTTGATTAACCTCAATTCCTAGAGGAGTTTTAGTTTTTATTCGATATGTTTGTTTTTTACTATGCTTCTTCGTATATTTTTCTCTAAAAGTCTGACTATTAGATATTTATATATATATATATATATATATATATATATATATCATATCAGTATGTAATATATTAGATATCAATATGAAGTAGAAAAAGTGTTTTCTACCTTGTTCACGAAAAATTATATAACTTCTTCAGATCTACTCTATACGCTTGTGATCTATAAAAATCCACTACAACGTCTTTAAGTTTATTTTCATCCATTAATTCTCTCCTTTAATGGGCATAAAAAAATTTTCTTTTGATCGTGTCAACTCTTTAAAAAAAAATAATTATAAGTATAATATCAAGAATCATATTTTTTTTACATCCGTACAAACTTAAACAGTTGCATTTTGCAATATTTAACTATAGACTTTTGAAAATTATAAGAGGTATTGATTTGAGTCTCCCGACTGATAAACAATGCTCATAATTGTGTTACTACATGAGAAATATGACTTTGAAAGAATTCTATTAAACCATAATTTTTAACACTAAATTAGTTGGCGTAATTTCGGTCAAAATGTTCAATTTCAACTAATTTGTTGCAACAGACTTTTCCTGTTCGTCCGCATTTTAATATTAATGTTAAAACATTATTGTCATTCGACAACATTAAGAATTCTTTAGTAACTTCTTATTGTTACTTACAATTAATAGAATAGTCAGCAATTTCCTGACTTTTATGAAGATTCCATTCGTCATGTTGAATATAATCACGTAGATTTGATAATAATAAGTACGAAGAATTTCAAAGTTTAATCCTTTTGTATATTTAATATTTGTATATAACAGTTTTTTTATTTTATCGACACAAAATCTTAATTGTTGCTTCGCATCCGAAATATTTATTGTTTTTTAAATATAGGTTATGATTCCTATCTTGTAATAATATTAATATTGAGATTTTTTTTCTATATAAATCCAGTACAAATATTACACATTGCCCCTGAAAGTAGGCTTCTCGCTGTACTATATTGAAATTAGATAATATACTCTATTATAATGAGTTGAAGATATATAATAAGAGATTAAATGATAAATTATTAAATTTGAAAGATTTGGAGGTGTTCTTTTTTGTTAGGGGAATCGGTATAGTAACTGATAATCCACAGTAAGATGAATTAAACAAAATTTTAATTTATATACGCTATTTTTGATATTTAATTAATATTAAATTAAATTAAATTTTTTTTCATAAAACTAATTCAAGTCAAAATATATAGTATTGTTAAGATTTTATACAAATTACATTTATATTAATTAATTGGATTATAAAGTTTCATTTTTAGATAAAACCAAATTAGACAGTAAAATTAAATAAATTAATTAACTTAAATAAAAATTAAAATATGTGCGAATTACCTGTCAATTTTAATAAAATATTCTATCTAAGAAATTTTAAATAATTTCTATTGCAGGTAGGTATTACAAAATGTTTTCTAGTTCAACATCGAGCTAACAATCATTAAGTTAATTTATTAAATTAATTAAACAGTTTTTATTTAATGCATTTAAGAATCCATTTATAAAAATAAAAAAACACGAAAAGGAGAAAGAAATAATTGCAAAAGAAGAAGTTTCCTCGCTGAAAGCCCTGTTCAGTTAGATACGAAGATTCATCCATACAAGATGGATAGAAATTCGCGTCTCGAACACATCGAAAACTTTGCTTTGACCAATACACTCTCGCCCAATCTCGAAAAGATCAGCCAAAGGCTTCCTATCCTATAATCGAGAAAGACGGCAAAGAAAGGCTTATAACAGCTAAGTTACGGCACTCTCTGCCGAAGGTCCAGGGACTTTCCTCAAAGCAAGTTGAGAGTTACTGACGAACTCCGCTAGTGGCTCCGAAGTGACGCACGAAGAAACTTCGTTAATATTAAGCTTGGAAATTTATTATATAGGAATAGTAAACCATCTGAGCACTTGTGAGAAACGTAACAGTGACTCTCAATTCCTATCTAACTTTGCATTTTATTCGAACAACCATAAAATATAACTTTTAATATAATACAGAATGATTTATAATTTTAATATATTTCATTATTTATGATTGATTTTATAATTTATATATATTTTCTAAAATTTAACATAACTATTTACAAATGACAAAACCTCTATTTTTTGTATATTCAGACACAAAATTAGAAATTTTTCAAAGAACTTAATCAACATGTGTGCGAGAAAATAAAGTAATATATTAATAATTATTGAGATACTTTTGAAATGGCTTACATCGAAATATATATACACAGAAAAAAATACAATTCGAATGTAATTAGTACGAAATACTATAAAATAAAAGAAATTAACTGTACGATTGAAATAAAAAATTATTTACGCTTATTTTCTGACAATTCAAACATTCGCATAGTTTATTTCTCTTCCTACATACTTGTAAGAAATAGTATAGGTCAATCGTTAGCAATTAATAAAATTTAAGGAGTAAAAAATGATTAAATATGACACAAATATGTACATATTAATAGATTTACAGAGTTATGAACCGATTGGAAAGATTCAGTTCAGACATTCTCTAATTAAGACTGTTGACTACTGAATTAAAACTGACTTTCCTTCTTCTTCTTGTTCAGCGATAAAACACTATTCCTTTAAAAGAAGCAATTGCACAGTGGAAACACAGAGGAAAAGTGTGAGATATATCAAGATGTGGCAATATCACATCAGTACCATGAATTTATTGTAATGTGGAAAAGCGTGTCAGCAGAGGTGCAGATGCATATAACTGAAGATGTTTACTAAGCCTACAACAGAAATATTATCATATAAAATTGTATTTAATAGTTTTAAGTATATTAATTTTGTAAAGTCTTTTAATGAGTCTGATATTAGTACTTTTAATACCGACAGTGTTATATCATTAAATTTAAAAGAATTATGTATATATGCATATATACATAAAATGCATAATTAGAGAATTTCAAAGCCGATTTTTCTTTTGACATTCTCTTTCTTATAGACATTTCACTACTCACGTGTTTCTTCTTGTTTATTTTCTTCCTTTGTTGCATAATTTTAGGTTTCTTCCTCTATTGCTAATTTCAATTCTCCCACGAACTACGATTATAAATTTATTAAATGTATAAAGAAATATAAATGTTGGTAATCGCATTAAAAATAAAAAGAACCATATATATGGTTGACATACTTTATAGTAGAACTAATTACGATACATTACCTGCAGCTTATATGTCTTTTCTTGTTGCAGTTTTGTTGCCTTTTACTATAGAATTTCGTATTTTCTTCCTTACGCATTTATTTCTTTGTCACAGAAGTTATCACCTTTGTCAATTTTTCCAAAAGTAGATGATTCTATAATCCTGGACATTTCCTGCATCAAAAGAGACTTTACATTAAAAAGTATTTCATTTAATCTTCCCATTTATATAGTACCTATTATATCACTGGCCCATTTGAATATTGTATTTCTCTGAACATAATAAATTTGTATACTTAGAATAGAGATCCTAATTAATATTAAATGGAGTGATACCACTGATAACAAACTAAGTGCCTCAATTACTTCTATAGCTATAGTTTTTCTTAATCATTTCAGTAGTCAAGTAAGAGGTAAAGTATTACTCTTTTGATATAATCAATAATCGTTATCTGAGTAAACAATATGACTTTTAACTTATTTCGAGATCCATGCGATGGAAATTAAATTTTTGACAAATATATTCACTAATTTTATGAATTTTATGAATGAAAACCTATTTGTAATCGCTCGATTATAATCCAAGTTAAAATCTTGAAAGTATCAGATTAGCATAACCATAATTCTCTAATGTTGCATATCTATCGAATTATAGTTTGGTCTATATTATGAAAATTCAATATGTTTTCGTATGACAAACAAATGTGCATCTGTCGTTTCATCTTTATCTTCTAAATATATAAAATATTTTCATTATTTAATTTCATATCATTCCATTCTTTCTTCTTTGTCTTGGTCAACTAAAGTATTATTTTCATCATCACGTTTTCATTATCGTCATTACCATCTTCGTTTTCTTTTTCATTGTTTTTAGAGATAAGCTTATTTTCATTTGTAGATAATTCCGAGTTTTCCTGGATAATTTGTTGCTGAAATTGAATATTTCTTTTCAATTGGTATAAATAAAATTTTGATTTACGAATTCATTTTTTTATTGGAATAAAGTTATAATGTCTGTTTTACAAAGAAATAAAATCGATATAGTCTATCACATCTTCAGACATTAACTTTTTAAAGCGAGTAAGTTAATGTTTATTATCTTGCAATTTCTTCTAAAAAGAAAATGTAATACTTACTCTCATTTAATTTTTAACTATATATATTTTAGAAACGTTCGATGATATATTGTTCTTTATCGAGAGATTACAAAATTCTAATAATTTTTCTCATTTATATTTTAGAACGGCAATAGTCATATGTTAATTTCAGGAGATTCCATTTTTGTGTCGTTTCATGAAAATATATTTCCACTTCCTCGTCGTTTTCTTCCCTTCTGCAAGCTACACAAAGAAAATACTTGTCTCATGTACTTTTTCAAAAGAACGATTTGAATTATAACAATAGTTAATATTATTAAATAACATTTAATTTTCTCAAAAATTATTATATTATTAATAACATAATATAACCTGAAATGTATCTTTCCATTTATGACGTGTTGATCTGGTCTTCATATTAATATATTTCAAAACTGCATTTAATGATACTAATTTTAATAATATTTTACGTCACCATCAACTTTATTAATTAATTGATAATAATGGTTTTTTTACAGCCAGAACTTTTATTAAGATGTACGTAGATCTTTGTTAAAAAATTTTTATTTTGGTTAGTAGAAGAGTGGAAAAATCAAAATAATAACTTAGGCGACACCTTGCGGTGGTAATGTGTAAGCTTATTATGGCGGTGTTCGAGTTTGTAGTTTCGGCTGGACTATCAAATCATAAGTTCCCTCGAAATATAGCTTCCTTATTTATCGACACTATGGTAGCCATACATACAAAAATTGAATAATATACTAGGCTCGATAATGATGCCGAGAGCGTGCCTGGAGAAAGATTACCAGAAATACAGTAGATTTTGTGAAGAATAAAACAATTTTTGGAAAATGATTTTGTATGAAATACTTGTTAATTATAAGGTATAGTGGTACAATTAACTATCTTTTCAAATTCTCCATAGTACCTTATTATTTACGTGTATTCACTTTAAAACGTTTTATTTCTGTTCGTGTTTCTCTGAATTCTTGATAAACCCAAATACTACATCGTTCATTCTTTTTATATTTTTCCATTTACATATTCGTATCAACAGGTAATGCAACTACGTCGCATTATTTGATTTCATATTATTCTAACAATTTTTCGATCCATTTCTGTCAATGCACGTATACTTTTCGTAGATCCTGTTTAATCCGCATTTTTTAGAATAATTTTTGTTTTTCTTTGGTCTTTATTTTTCTGTTAATCTTGTTCATACATCTTTTTATAAAAATATAACTACTAGATCCTGTTTAATCCGCATTTTTTAGAATAATTTTTGTTTTTCTTTGGTCTTTATTTTTCTGTTAATCTTGTTCATACATCTTTTTATAAAAATATAACTACTAGATATCAGTATGAACTCCAGGATAAAGAAAATTGTTCTCTACATTGGTAAAGAAAAATCGTGAATTTTCTTTAAATCAATTTAATTCAACATTTATCCTTACATCTGTTTGAAATCCATTCCGACTTTTTTCAATTTATTTTTAATTACAAATACTCTTATTTATTTGGCATAAGGACGTTTTCTTTTGATGGTATCAGCTCGTTTTAAACGACAAATAATTATAAAAATGATATCAGTAAACAATATTTTTATTATATTGATATACATTTATATATTTGTATCTTTCAATATTTACCTACAGATTTTTTAAAATTATATGAGGTATTCATCTAAGCATCTCGATCGAAAAACACCGTTCATAAATGTGTTAATATGTGAGAAATATCGGATGGAACTAAAATCTATATATATTTTACTTATTGCAGAAGTATTTCCCATTTTGCATAATTAAAATTGACGCACTTTCATCGCAATTATAAACGTTTGAACAAGCATTCTTTCCTTATTTTCATGTCATGTACAGATGTTGTTGTCGAATGTACTCACTGTAGCACTGAACTATGATGTTTAGTAGAAGTAGGTAGCCTTTTCTCTTGAATCATGGAAGGCTTAAACTGTCAATGTACGCAATTTATAACGATCCAAAACTTTATATTTAGAAATTAATTTTCAACGATTCGGTTAAATTTTTGGGATTTAAGATCAGTATGGTGAATACATTTAACAGATAAGTCCAAAGTAATGAATTTCCCAGTAAAAATGATACGAAATTAATAAGTACGTCGGCAATGAAACTCAGCAGTTATGATTACTTAATACGTATTTGTCGATTGAACTTTGAATTATTGTCTTAATCATTTTACCTTAATTTTCACGAAGAAAGAGAAAATCCAGTAAAGGAGATACATTGTTTCAAAGATGTTTATGAATGAAACATGTGGCTAAGTATTCGGCCACAATTTAACATTTAATAAAAATTAAATATAAAAAAATAAGTATACATTATATGCAATAAATGGCGTAGTATATAAGGAAAAAGTTCTAATCCAAATATCTGTCCGAGATTTCACGAATAAAAACCGTTTAATTTTAATATAATTTAATTCAAGAAATTATTGATTCGTACATACGCAATAGTCTAAATTATGATTATTATTATCCTTCATTCTTTTGCTTATCTTTGCTTTTTTTACGGAAATCCAAACGTTACAAGTAGTCTGGAAATCATAACCCATGTAATGATAAATAGGACACAGGCGATAAAAAGTTTCATTGCTTGATGCATCAAATAAAACTTTGAAAATTTTAAAAATCAATATTATTTGAAAGTGATTGTCAATAACAGAGGGACAATGAAGTAAAAATGGAATAAAAAAGATACCTTCGCCATTTTATACGAGCTTGTGGGAGTGTTTCAATAGGATCCTTTAAGATATATTTTCTTACGCCTGTGAAGTATGTTTCAAAATAAGTATTCCAAACGAGATCCTTCATATCACAAAAGAATAATTCACGATCTTCGGGTGTCAACTTCCTCATCAATTCGTTCCATCTTTCATTCGTAAATTTTTTTTCGTTTATAGAAAAATAACTAAGTAGATTTGACATTTCATGAATTTTATTGTACATTCTGAGTAACCTTGAACGAAAAGGATTAGCACCAGATGAAATTTTTCGCTTCTTTATCGTTCTAATACACTCTCTCCAGAAAATAAGATAAGAGAAATTTACCTTTGATTTTTACCCCTAAACAAAAAGATTGTATCGATTATAAGAGCTGGCAGTAAATGTAAAAAATATACGTAGAAAAGATAGATCGATCGATATTTTGTTATTTCAAAGATACTGCACCAAGTTGCCTTTTCAAGCGGTACCAATTCTCCATACATAAGTATCATTTCTATAAATCTGCCGTAAGTGAATGGATTATCCTTTGATACGTAATTGTAAATGGAAATATCTTCGTTCGATCTAAAAAAATTTTTTATTCATACAGACGAATAAATTCAATACTTTCTAATATCATTATTTAATTTGATCCTAAAAATATTGTATCGTATATTTGTCGTTACTTTCGATTATTTGCAAACTCCCATGCGCTAGCGATTATTCCACTAGCGGTCAAATCTCCAGCTACCAAGTCCATATTTATCGATCCATCGCAATGGAGAATTCGCATTAATCCCAAATTTTTTAATCTTCCTTCGTTTCAGACAGGAAAAAGACATTTATTACGATTCTTGGAGAAACCTTTTCAATATTTGATAAAAGATAAGTGCAAAAAAGTTAAAAATTAGTCTATATAAAATTAAAGGGGATCATATAAAAACCGACAAAAAGAGTGTCAGGAAATTTACTGTAGATAATTACATTACATATTCCATCTCAACAATGTTTATGTCATATAAAAATATTTTTGATCGGTCCACTAACAAAAGAATAATCAAAGCTGATCACCTTCCGTATTTACACTTCTGAATATTTCGAAAATTAAAAAAAAATTTTTCGTATTCTATTTATCGTTTTAATTATGGTAGTTGCAGCTAATTCTTCTAGATTTTGTTGAATTGTAGTATTAACCGAATGTCTTAATTTCTTTTTTTTCTGTAATTTCGTGTAAGTCACAAACCTTTTTATGGTTTTTAAAATTTTCACGTAATCATTTACTTGAATTTTCGTAAAAGAATATCATTCATTGTTATGGCCTTTCACCATAATTAGTTATCACGCTATACTTTCTCTTTTATTCATGGAGAATAGAGAAATATAGTTTCTATTTTTAATCAGGTTTAACTTGATTTTAAATTACTTGTAAAATATATCGACACGAAGCGTCTTAGTGAGACGAGTGAAAGAGGAATTACCTATAGTAAATGATATCAGTCCGATTAAATTCTGAGATTTCCTGTTACCACTAAAAACGGTATTTAAAATTTAATATTTAGTACATGTAAGAAGAAAAAAATTGAAAAATAAATTTTGTAAAATTATACACGTAGAACATGCTGGAAGTTGCAAAAGGTTATTTTTCATGAAATAATATGTATTTATGATGCGTATGTGGAAAAAACCTGAAAGATTCACAAATTTTTCAATGTGTGATTTCGATAGTTGTTTTTCACGTTGAGGAATAGACAATCAGAATTTCGACATCGCATAATCGCAATCAAGGGCGACTGTAATTTGCCGAATCTCGCTATCTTAATGGTCGATAGAACTATACTTATACGAGAGGTCCCGGTTGCTTTCTTCGTTGCTTCGACTGCGAGATGCAATGAGAAAATAAAATCGACGTCAGCTATTAACGTTTGAAGTCAAAAATTTTATATCATTTCAATTTACATTAGATTACTCGATTAATATTGTACTACGAGAAAATATCATTTGTATGCTATTACATTTCTTTTTTACATACACGCAAGCACGATTATAATAATTTATCGATAATATTAAAAGAGATCGAATGCGAATTCAATGCAAGAAAAAAGCAAAAACGTAACCGGTTAACAAAAAATATTAGTAATCTAATCTTGTACGTGCGCCCGAAAACTTAACTTATAATAAACATCGTCGAATAAAAATTAAAACGAGACTATGACTATGACTATGACTACATGAATACATTGGACACAAATCATTTTAGAATAACATTTTCATACGGGTTATATAGTTCGCATGTAAAAGTAAATACATATGTTTTTGTGATTCAGGCCTTGTACAGATGCGACATAACAATCAGGTTTGATAAATTACCAATCGACTTAATTAAACAGTCAAGGATTTTTGTCGATAAATTAAAAAAAAAAAAGAGTGAGAAATGTAGGCAAGAGTAAAGATAAAATGATCTATTCAACCGAATGCACTAAATAAACTATTATGTAGATCTATGTACATATGTAAACTCGAAGGAGTTGTTTGCATGAAATGATTTAATATTTTCGAATTTGTTTATCAACGACCAGTGTAATCTTTTGTATAATGTAGAAATACTTTTCGGATTTTTATTCTTTTTGGAATTTGATCCCATTTCAGATCCAAATCTATAATTGGCATTTGTATTGTATTTAACGATACAGATTTAATAGTATAATATAATAATATAATAGTAAATAATGAAATATAAAATATAAATATTAAATATAGTAAATAATATAATAAAAATAATATATAGTAAAAAACATAATAGAATGCAGAATACGAAGAAAATAAATGAATGATTGTGATTTTTCCCTCGTACTCGTCATATGTTATACGACATTCATTTATGCCCATGCGCGATAATTACGAGAAAAAAATTTTTTTCATTATCAAATATTAATATATTTTATTGTATAATATATTTTATTGTATAATTTTATTGTATAATATATTTTATTGTATAATTTTATTGTATAATATATTAATATATTTTAATGTAATATTAATTTGATTAATATAATAATAGCATTTTTTAATTAATTAATATAGTCGAATTGAACGAACCTTATGAACCTAATTTTGAGTCATTTTCAACGCAAAAATACAATAAAAAATTATAAATAAACAAATAATTGTTAAAATATTTTGATAAATAAAACATAGGTAAATTCGTAATATGAATAAGTATAACATTTTACAAAATAGTTTAATGTTAAATTAAAATCGTATTGTCTCTCGTTAAAAAATTCTCACGATAATAATTAGTATAATTTATAAATATAATAATTATAAAGTCTTAGTATGACAATAACGTTCACTATGTTTGCGAATTGATCATAGCATTTTTCAAAATGTAAATATTATTATTGACGATTATCTTTACGCTTCACTTGATATTGAGTATGCAAATTTATGGAAATGGCAAGCGTGAGAGAAATAATCATGATCATACATTTATTTCATATTTTTCCTGTATTTTTGCTTTTTATAATATTGTTTAATGGTACAAGTATCATTGAAATACAATACAAATGCCAATTACAGAGTTTCATTTCATGGGATCAAGTGCAAAATTAGAAAAAGAAAATGAAAGCAAAAAATGACTCTTTCGAAAGTATTTCCACATTGTATGTAATTATAACTGTACGTGGTGCGAATATTCAAAATTGATAAATATCTATGTTCATAAATCTAAGCTACTTTATTTTATAAATTATACGAGCTCAATCGCACAGATTATGCAATCTTTTTCTTCTCATCATCTGTCACACTTATCTCTTTTTTTAAATAACCATTAAAAATGTCCGACCGTTTGTAATCAAGTCGATTTCAATGTTATCGAAATTCATTATTATTCAAATAATGTCAATATATTTCAATAACGGTTAATGAACGATAAAGAAATATTACAAAAAACTAATTAATAAATTAAGCGTGCGTTATTTCTTTTTTTATTAGATTTCAAGATTAAAATAGACTGACTATTAATAATACATACAGAAGATCGAAAGATTCATTTGATGTGTTAATCATGCATCATATTTTTTATCGATCATGAGAAAATATGTTACTTTTATTTTCCTTATAATATTTTTCTTTTCTTTTTAATATCTTCCTTTCTTTTTCTTTCATTTTTTTTTACTCTTATTAAATATCTTCACAAAATTTGTCCTAATATTTTCAATTATTCAGTTCGATTGTAAGATTTTAGCACTCGAATAATCGTTCTAGATCAAATTATATAACGGTTACTGAGACAATTCAAATGTTTCTAACGATTATATGTTTTAGCAGATTTTATTTAATATTAAGTCATCGGGGTTGTATAATTGTTTTGTAGAAAGACAAAAAAAGACGTAGAGTATAGGCTACGTATAATAAATTAAGGGAGACATTATTTATTTGTAAATTCTGTCAAATTTCTTTTCATAGGGGTGATTTTTTTTATTGGTACCGCACTTATATATATATATATATATATATATATATATATATATAAGTATATATATATAATAGTATATATATATATAAAGTATACATATAATAGTATATATATATTATAGTATATATATAAGTATATATATATAAAGTATATATAATATATATATATATAATATTATTTATATATATATAATATTATATATATATATATATATATATATAAGTGCGGTTATATATATATATATATATATATATATATATATATATATATATATTATATAATCTGATAAATTATTCATCATATTTCTATTAAATCATTAAATACAATCTTTTAATGGATACTATTAATTTCAAATTAATAGTAATAAAAAATTCATATATATATATATATATATATATATGTAAAGAAAGTATACTTTCTTCAAGTAGATTTGCCGTGCGTCTCAAGTCACGCCCTACAATTGTCTTTTGTTATCGACAAATTCTTTTGTTACCAACAAATCGAGCCGTTAAGATTTGAGAGAAAAACGGGCAGTAAGAAATAAAACGTAGACGAGAGAAGTAGCACGAGAGTGTAGTATAAAATTTAAACAATGTGCAATAATAAACGTAAATTGTCGTTTCTTTGTTCACAGAGAAACATATTTTCGTTTATCACCTCCCATAAGCAATCTGAGATATTATATATATATATATAATTTTATAATCTGATTAACTATTCATCATATTTCTATTAAATTGTTAAATACAATCTTTTAATGGCTACTATTAATTCTAAATTGTAATAAATAAAAAAAAATATTAATAATAAAAAGAAAATATTAATAATAAAAGTAATCGTGGCATAGATACGTTGCTTCATTTTCAAACCAAAATATTCCATACTTTTTACAGGTATAACAATTATTCTGAAGTTTTATTTCAAATGTAAAAATGTAAAAATTATTGCCGCGATTAAACAAGTCCCGTAGATGCCAGATCCACGGAATGTTATGTTCAATTCCATGTCATCTATATCTACTATAATACTATCATTGTAATTAATATCTTCATCATAATTGTTATTATTATTATGATATTATTATCATTATTATCATCATTATCATTATCATTAGTCATATTATTAGTTGTATTATTATCATTATTATCATTATTATTGTAATTAGTATTTAATCATTGTAAGATTGTTAAATATAGATATCCTCACAAAACCATAAAACCACAAGACATCCTTATCCCCAGCCAACGCTTTCTCCTCTCTTACAAGACTTTTTCTATTTCTCACCAACTCTCTAAAACAAATCTCTCCTCCTCAGTTTGCCTTTTTTCGAAAATCTATCCTGCAAATCAATCATCACTGTAAATCTACTCTCTACTCTTAAAAACTTTCTCTTCAATTACCATCTAGGAATACAAACCATCTAGAGAATAAATTATACTTTTAAACATTTCCAATCTAGCAAAAATATCTTTTATTCATCGCATTGCGGAGACAAATTCATATTGCGTTTTGGCACATAATACATATAGACGCACATAAAGATGTGCACCTTCAGTTTTGCCATTTCCTTAGGCAAGTTATGTAAATGAAAACATAATCATCGCATTCAATTGTTGCAAGAAGAAGGGTAAACGTAAAATAAAAAGAAAAATAATAAATGTATTCATTTACGATGAACTTTAGGATCCCTTACATTCTCATACTCACAAACACATTAATGTTGAAATATTTATGTACCATTTGCTATCTGCATTTTGTATAAGCAAATTCTTTCATCAAGTCAAGACCATTTGCAGAAGATTTTTTCGTTAAACTTTATGATTACGGCGTAACATAAAAAACAATTGATACTTCGTGTATGTGTATAACTCTATCGGTTATCGGAATAATAAAATTCTTCAAATTACAATTATCCTCGATCACGGGAAATAGTTTCGTTTCCTTTTCGTTCGGAATTCCGATTGTTTCTCTCTCATCGTAAAAAATATCTGGCAAATGTACATTAAAAGAGTCGAAAATATTTTTGGCCTGGCATACATATGTAGACAATTTCAAGGAGAATCACTTTATGGGACTTCTTGTACGTTAAACATGCTCCAAATCAACAGTTTATTTACCAATTTTCTTTTTGTTACATTTATAAAATATTAAATACTACTTTGTTTTTTAATAGAATCAAAAAATCTATGATTTAAATCCAGATGAAATAAAGTATAGAAATAATAATATATTAACAACTCATTGAATTCTGAAATTATCTTTTTTCGAACATATCGAAAGATAAACGTACTTGACGTCTCATACGAATTTCTCGATTAATAATTCCTCTATAAATATTGTTCTACAGCTCATGAATATACTTTGACCATGGTAGTACCCCTGAATGAAGATGATTAGTTAACGATTGCATATCTATTGGAGTATATTACTCTCGAATTCAGGAATGGAATTAAGTATTTTACAAATAGATTCGATTCTAATTGGATAGTTTCGAATGTTTCATATCTATTTCAAAGAAGAGAATCAGTAATTTCAAGTAAATTCAAACGAGAAATAGGTTCGAACTTTTTTTAATATTTTGAATAAGCGTAAGTTTAAGTATATATGAATCTTCTATGAATACTTTGATCGAATAACGTCACAACAAATTATAATCTATGGTATTCTTTTGTGTTTTTAGCTAACATCTTGTGTTAATAAGAATTATCGTTTTGAGTTTAACTAACTTCTCGGTTCTTTAATAATTTTAAAAGTTAAAAGCTCGATACAATCCTCAATGTTGCGATTAACTATACATTCAACTATTATTAACAGTTATACACTCCTTGTGAAAGGTTCAAATTTTTCTAACTTCGAATTACTTGTAAGTACATTTTCGAATTTCTGAAATCAAAGATTCACATATAAAGTTAGTTCGACGTTAGCATGTTACGATATTGTGTTTAATGATTTTTTATTATTTACATTATATATAATGTATCTCGAATTTAACAGTTAATTGTAAGTAATCCCTCTTCTCACTTCCTTCGTCATTATAAAATACGGATTGAGTGAAAGTGAGCTTTCGGCAGACTTCTTTTGTTTTTCGAGCTATAGAACGTGTCGAATGCTACGCTCCCATTAATTGCTTCACCAACATGTGATTGGTCATCTCCATCGATGTGGTCATCAGCGCTCTCTGTTGACGACGTACCGATTTACGGTACTTTAACAGATAGTTACATATTTTGATAAAAGGAGTGAAGTTCATTATTTACATTTTCTAAAATAAAGTATACCTCAGTAACATTAATGTTTGGATTATAATGTTATATAAATACTTTTATTATATAAAATATAATTTTTTCAACAAATTATCGATCAAATATATATTTATCTTTTATTAGTAAATTTTTATGACGTCACTTACAATATCGTGTAGAAAAATTATATAGTGACATGTGAAAAAATGAATGTGTGATCTCGATTTTATTTTTATTGAGAAAATATGATCTCTGGAATTTTTATTTTTGTAATTCGTTGACGATTGTATACAGTATGTGTTTTCTCTCAGAATCGATTTTGTCGTACGAACGTGATAATTTTTTGATTCTTTCTCCTGTTGTTCTAGTGCATTAATCTTGTTTATTAATTATTAGATTTAACCATGATACGAGGTAAAACAATGTTTAAAACAGTAAAAAACAATGGGAATTGATACTACAGAATTATATCGAAAATTGCGAATGAGGTTAGGATTGAAACTATATCCTATACATCGGTTTCACAGACTTGTACTCCTTCAAGTTACTTTAAGAATGAAATGAAGTCTATTCAAATAAGATAAATTTGAATGAAAGAGATATTAATATAACTGTAGATTTGGATATATTCAAATCCGCTGTTCGATGAGTTTACAAGTTGCAGCAAGAAAGAAAATAAACATCGTGGAAGATGTTCAGAACAATTTTTTACATCAAACAGTAAGTGCAGTAATATAAAATACTATTTATAACCGACTTTCATGAAAGAAGTATGAGTATTCTAAGATACCGCTTTCTAACAGTGTAATTATAGAGGATCATCTGACAGATGTCGTCAATCAGCTATTAAAATATTATGGCCAGGCCGTAAGAAGCAGTGAACATAATCTAGATAATATATAGGACAACATTTTTCCATGAAATTTTAATACGGTCACAACTTTTGTTCAAACGATTGATTTAAATGTAAAACTGCTGAAGCAGCTGAAATTCTGTATTGGTTAACTTGTAAAAGCTATGCGTTAATCTGTTATATCAGTTATGAAGATAATTACCAGAAACTACTATCGAAGAATTATATAGGAAACATTAAATGTAAATAAATCATTCTATTGTATTCTATTGATAAGAATATCAAAAAATGTATTTGTCTGTATCTCATATCACATCTTGGTATATATGATACTGTCATCACAATTAATGATAGTAATGCTGGCAAATAGAAAGTGGCTCAGAATAGCTGGGAATGGAATACGACAGTCGTAGCTGAGGATATGAAATGATTTTTGAGACAAAGTTACAAGCTTGAAAAATTTCTAAGAAAATGTTATCTTTGATAAGCTTGGACGATTTGGAAGGAGATAAATTTTACAATAGCGGAGGATTTTGGTTGCTTTTTCTACTGAAAAGTAAGTTTTTACTAAAATAATTTTTTTTTATACTAATTTCTGAAAAGCTTCCTTCTTTTTTAGACTAATAATACGTTTTCTCTCGAATTATTTAAGATTTGCTCTTGATTTTTCTACAGTTCATTTATAATATTCTTTTGATACCGAATATTTAAGTTTATAATAATTTTCAAAAGAATAAAAAGAAGATAATTATAAGTTAGAATAATTAGATAGAACAAAAATTTCATTTTGATCCCGAACATATGTAGTCCAGTGAAACTAGAGAAGTAAGTTCACGAAGCATATAAATGACTTAGTAAAGTTTCATTACTTATTGAGCAGATGGATCATGAAGTTGGTAAATGTAACATTAGTGGGATTGATTATTCATATTGTTGTTAACACTTGCTATTTCTTGTTATTGTTTTTTGCACGTTTGCATCTCGGAAAAATATATGCAGGATTTAATTATCGTAGGCTGTAATTGTCAAACTTTATTAGTATATTTTATTAGTCGAAATAGGAAAAAGAAAATGTTATATAAACATGAATTGTTTCTTTTTAAGTATTATTAAAATGTTATTACAATATATGAGAAGAACAATATCGGATACTTCATAAAAATCAGGAAATTGCTGACTATTCTATTAATTGTAAATAACACTCTAAGAAGTTACTAAAAAATTCTTAATGTTGTCGAATGGCAATAATGTTTTAACATTAATACTAAAATGCGGACGAACAGGAAAAGTCTGTTGCAACAAATTAGTTGAAATTGAACATTTTGACCGAAATTACGCCAACTAATTTAGTGTTAAAAATTATGGTTTAATAGAATTCTTTCAAAGTCATATTTCTCATGTAGTAACACAATTATGAGCATTGTTTATCAGTCGGGAGACTCAAATCAATACCTCTTATAATTTTCAAAAGTCTATAGTTAAATATTGCAAAATGCAACTGTTTAAGTTTGTACGGATGTAAAAAAAATATGATTCTTGATATTATACTTATAATTATTTTTTTTTAAAGAGTTGACACGATCAAAAGAAAATTTTTTTATGCCCATTAAAGGAGAGAATTAATGGATGAAAATAAACTTAAAGACGTTGTAGTGGATTTTTATAGATCACAAGCGTATAGAGTAGATCTGAAGAAGTTATATAATTTTTCGTGAACAAGGTAGAAAACACTTTTTCTACTTCATATTGATATCTAATATATTACATACTGATATGATATATATATATATATATATATATATATATATATATATATATAATAAATATCTAATAGTCAGACTTTTAGAGAAAAATATACGAAGAAGCATAGTAAAAAACAAACATATCGAATAAAAACTAAAACTCCTCTAGGAATTGAGGTTAATCAAACATAATGTAGAAAATATATGCATTAGCAAAAATAGATTGAAAAATTGTTAGAATAATATATCGCTATATCTGTATACTAAACAAGAATTTTATAAAAAATAGCTAATTTTTCATACACTTCTAATCTTTACAAAATTGCCCATCTCCTGGTCTCGATCCGGTCACCCGTTCACCAGGGTCGTTAAGACATCCAAATATGGCCCGCACGCAAATGTCGATATGTTATGAAAGCTTTAATATGAAAGAGCAATTATGAAATAAACGTACCCCAATAACAATGGCGCTAGAACGCCGCGGTGAAAGAATACAAGTTACTGCCGCATGATGTCACCCGAATCAATTATCAAGTATCACACAATATAATTGAAATTAGATAAATTAAATGCGATTTTAAAATATTGTTTCAAAATGAAGAATAGGCAGAAACGTCATAACTGGAAAGATGAACATCAGGTATTATTATAAATTAATGCTGTTTTTCACAATATTATATGTTATTCAGAGCTATTATCTATTGTTACAATTTAAATAATTTTTTGAAAGAGTAACAGAGATAGATATTAATATTTTTCTTTCGGTATCTTACAAAAGTGAAGCGAACGAGGAGGATATGGAAATGTATTTTCTTGAAACTATTCAAAAATGAAATCCCTTGAATCTAATCAATCTATAGTTATTGTAATTCGTAAATATGACTGAGAGAAATCGTTACACTTTCTCAATTGCTATCATTCCTGAAATATGTAAAGAAGCAAGATGTTTTTTCTGCGATCTATTCTAGAGCTTGAGACAAGTAAGATACATGTATTTAAATGATATTTACATAACTACATTATGGCATAGATACATGATAATAGGTTTAAAAAATCATTTTTTACATATATTTTTCTCAGTTACTATATTTATTCTCAATGAAATATATGGAAAAATTATGATATGCGTCCATGGCTTTTGTCAATTAATTCAAATTTCTGTATCGATATTAATTCCAAAATATTAAAATATCTTATGGAATAGCCATTTGCCGTCTTACCTGAGACATAACAGTTAACAATTTTGCTATAAAAAGTTTTCCCTTCATTATTTTCGAAATTAAATGTAAGATGGTAAACTTTTTGTTAAGATATTGTAAGGTAGTCAAGATGTGATTGCCGGTTTTTTAGAAGATTAAATTCTATAGATCTAATACGGTATAAATTTCATTTCTTCTTAAGTTCCTCTAATCTTATTTTAACAGATTTAAAGATGAACTGGTTGAAATTAAAATGAAATATTCAATTTCAATTACAAATTATCCAGATATAATAGGAAATATTTGTAAATGAAAATAAGGTAATAATATCTAAAAATTATGAAAAAGAAGAAGATGATTGTAATCATAATTAATATGAAAATATATTTATTATCATGATTTTTAAGAAAGATACATTCTTATACAACTTTGAAATTCAATTCGCATTAAGTACTATACCCTCATTTGAAGGAGAATTCGCTTATATCTACAGAGTACAGATTGCAGTCTATTTTCAGGCGCAATGATTAACACTCATATAAAGAATTATGTAGAGAAGATCTTAATATTATTTACACAATAATAATTAGACTATATTGATATTAATTTCAAACAAAAAAAAAAACTTCCCAAAGTTGTATTGTCACTCTCCTTAACGTCAGTTGTTTATTTTATCCATATTCGAACGTTAAAAGTGTCTGAATATCATGACCCAAGTTATCATAGGAAATACACAGACAATAAAAAGTTTTAATGCTTGATGTATCCAGTAAAGTCTTAAAAATTAAAAAGACAAGTATTATTTGAAGGTCATTGTGAATAATAGACGATCGATGAGAAAGAAGATACCTTCGCCATTTTATACGAGCTTGTGGAAGCGTTTCAATGGGATCCTTTAAGATGTACATTCTTATGCCTAGAACGTAACTTTCAAAGTATGTGTCCCAAATGAGATTCTTTATATCACAAGAGAAAAATTTGCGATCTTCCGTCGTTAACTTACTTAACAGTTCGTTCCATCTTTTATTAGTAAAGTTCAATTTGGTAGAAGTAAAATAATTCACTATATTCGACATTGTATCAATTTTTTTATATATTTTGAATAACCTTAAACGCAAGCGTAAATTTTTAAAAAATTGTATGACTGTTGAAAAGATAGGTGCCATATATAAAAATAATTAAAGTTACATATAAAGATAAGAAAAATATATGAATATAGGAAACTCAAAGAGTAAATAAGTGTTATAGAAAAAATACAAGTCTGATAGATGTTAAAGAAATTGATAAAGAAAGATCGGCTACTAAAAGAAAGGAGATAGGAGATCCAATTTTGTTATCAGAATTTTACGGACTATTAAGGAACATGACAGTAATTAGGAAAAAGATACCTCGAATTTCTAATGACTTTTTGGAAAGGGGGAAATTTAATTATGACAAATGGTCTTTCATTCAGTCCGTAAGATGCATGATACCGGCGAATTATCATATGAATAATGTGATTATCATTATGTACTTAAGAAAAGAAGGTGCTGACAAGGGTGTAAATAACCGCATAGTTAGCCTAGAAATTCAATCATGTACCATTTTGATACGAATTAATTATAGATTAATGGGAAGATAAGTTTAAACTAAATTGTTTGATGATCAGTTTGTTCTTCGAAAAATTGTCGAAACATGCGAATCATTGCTAACCCTAGATGAGAACTTAGAAAGCTCAACAAGACCAAACACACGTTTTACGGAATTTTTAAACTTGAAATAGGTTGATTGAATCGAGTTTTTTGAGAATCTGAGAATGACATCAACCATAGGATGCATCGAATACGACTAAAAAATAAGAAAAAAATTACCTTGGCTTTTTACCTATACATAACGAAATCGTATCGATTATAATAGCCGGTAGTATATGTAGAAAATACATGTAGATAAGATAAATTGGTCGATATTTTGTATTCCAAAAGCTTATGTACCAAATTGCTTCGTTAGTCGGTAATAATTCAAGTTTCTTCCTCGACATTTTTCTTAATTCCTTATAAGTGATTGGATTATCCGTAGATGTGTAATTATAAATAGGAATTTCTTCGATGGATCTGAAAGATTACAGTAAGCGGTAATTTAATTTTTTCTAATCGTCATTTGATTCGATCGAAAATATTTCGAATAAACGTGATTAATTGACGTTACCTTCGATTCTTCGCTATGTCCCAGGCACTAACGATTAGCGCATTAGTTGTCAAATCTCCGGGTATAATGTTTACATTTAGCGATTCATCGCAAAGATGAGTTCGTATTATTCCCACTGCTGCACCTGCTGAAACTCCCACTATGCCGTTCATATTATCGGTCCATCCTTGTGTAGGTTCTATATACGTTGGTAACACTAAGAATATTAAGTTAATTATTATGTATTATTTATTATTTTATTCTAACAGAGTTACATTATTACCAACCGATTCCTGGACGAAATATTCCAATGGGTATTAAGCCAGCATATCTTTTTATGATATTCTCGGCGATTGATTTCGTATAAATATATGTATTCGGCCATATTCCAAGTAAGCTAATACCAGAAATAAGATTCAATTTTTAATTGTCGGTTCCGTAACCTGTCATCTTAATATATTTTTAATATATTCACAATCGGAAACGTAATTACAAAACGTCATTACAATATCGATAGATGGAGGATATACGTAACGAAGTTCTAGCGATAATGCTATTGACAAAAATAATGAATTGCCACAAAGATTGCAAATCTTTGATCTATCAAGCAGATTTTTTAAATGACGTTATATAACTAAAGAACATTATTATTAAATATTAAATTGTAATTGTTAATTTGTTTCTGCAAATTCGTTTAACTTTGTTAAATTTTATTGTCAAATATGTTCAACTGAGATATTATTTTTTAATTCAATAATGAATCGTAATTTGTGTTATGATTAGATACAACGTAAAGATAGTGTTCAAAAAGAATTTGAAAAAATGTTATCGAATTTTACTTTACAGTAAATTCATTATTTTCGTTTCCCAGAGATATAATCAATGAATTTAAATAGCATTTTAAATTTTAATATTTTCAGTAACATTTCATGAATTATTTCATTTGTTCCCTAATATTTTCACAAGAATTTACTTAAAATAAAACATTATGTGAAGAAGCAATATTTTTTATATTCTCATACATTTGGATAGTAGAAACTTGCGATATTCTGGAATGGATTTTTGAAGATTGTATATGTATCCAGCTAATCGTTTGGCTCGACAAATGTATGGGAATATAATGGCAGAAAACAATCGTAAAATCATGACTTGGTGATAGACTTACTGCGGTGTAATTTCATCGAGCAATTTCTCATCCATAGATTCCATCAAATCGATGAATTTTTCGGCATTCATCGGTGGATCATAAAATTTCTCCTCGACCTGATTTTCAATACAATTGACATAAGCCGTTGATACATGGACGAAACTCTATAATATAAAAGATAACGAACATTTATTAGAGTCAGTTCATTCAATTAAAGATCCACATAATTGATAATATGTGAAGAGTGTCTCAATAACCATGTTACGAAACGATATCCTTGCTAATTTTTATGATTCGAAGAAATAACGGAGAGCCTAATTTTTTGGTTCAAAGTAGTATACATTAATTAATTGTTTTTCAGAATGATTTTTTCAAGTTTTTCATGTCACAGAAAATTTGCTAAATAGGAATACATACTTTTATGCATATTCGAAATGTGATAGATAAGATCAGGATGAATCAAACGATCTATAATACTGTGACCTTGACACAATTTTGAGTAAAAAGAAAATAATAAGTGAATCAATTGATGTCAATAATAAAATAACTATGATGGAAATATTAATCAGCAAAGATTTGCTTGAACAAGTACTCGAAATGATATCCTTCAAAAATAAATTTCTCTTAACATTTATTGATTGAAATAGAGAGTCCGATCATGTACGTCATGTTAGATTACATTTGATATTAACTAGGCGTGCAAGTGTCTTCTAACTATCTAAATTTTATAATAATTTTTTTGCGCAACGAATCGACAAGGTCACAGTATTATAAATTGTTGGTCATCCCTTGATCTCAGCTATCAATCTGCGATGACGACAATTACTTTAGAAATATACACTCGACATGAATTTGTACTCACAATTTTATTGCTCTAATAAATTTTTCTCCTTAGCACTTTTTTCTTTTTTTTTGAAAAAATTATCTTTTGTCTGAATTAGCGTATACTTATAAATAATCCTTATCGATTTTTTAATTTCGTATGAAACGTTCAAAAGCTATAATCCTCAACGCGAAACATTTTGTTCCATTGCCTATTTACATGCCCATATATATGAGTATAACATTTGTGAATTCTTTGTCAAGCAAGCGGTTTTATTATTCGTATTTGAATTTTACAAACAATAAAATATAAAAGAGATTTGTTCAGTAATTTCATCGCGTTACTTCAATTTCCTCGCTTCGAAAAATTTCGGTGGCTTAAAGAAAAACTGAGTCACACAATAATGCGTTTCATTGAACCAAACAATTGATTTCTTCCTCTTATCATAAATAGTAACCGAAATAGAGATTGATGATAGAGTTATTAGGACTCATACAAAGAATAGAATGCGTACCTTTAGTTTCGACATTTCCTTAGACAAGTGTATCAAATCCTTCAGACTTTGAACGTTAATAGCTGCCGCCAATTTAATTTTCTCGTTGAATCGCACAGTAGCGGCAACGTGAAAAACAATAGAGACGTCTCGTATCAGTTTAGCTCTATCGGTTATCGAAATACCTAGATTCGGCAAACTACAGTCACCCTCGATCGCTACAATGCGATTTTGGAATCCTGGCTGCTGCTTCCTCAGCGTGTTAAATAACTGAAAAGTGTGCATTGATAGGTTTATACATATTTCCTGTCCCACATACGCATCTACGTATCATTAATAGAGGAATGACTCAAAAGTTGGACCCTATATCGTATCTTCAACTTACTTTGTTAAATAAATATTGAAACCATTGAAAAGTGGATATATTACTGCAGAATAATGCCATGAATCTATCTAATCACAATCACTTGTTTGTTATTAAGCATTGGTAAGGTACGAGTTGATTTTTATTTTTGTGATTTATGAATTTGTTTCATATTATATTTTTTTCCTTAGTATTTGATTTCTAAATTTCTAAATTATTTCTTTTTCATTTCTAATTTATAGAAATAGACAGCAGATAACTATTTATATATAATTTCGACAGTGTCTTAAAGGTAATTGTAAATATCGACATGTTTCGATATAAATTCTCTTTCCAGAGAATGAGGGTCGTAACTTAACGCATTAAAAATCGTTTAACAAATTTTTTTATGCTGTCAAACTAGTTTCTATTATTTTTAGATTATAAATAATGTGAGAAACATGAATAGAGAACAATGACGATACGATCGATGAAAAAAAAGAAAGTTGGATTCAAGAAATCTGCTAAAGAACCTAAAATAACTCTGATGCGTTTAACCAGTGAAAAATGTTGAGAAAAAATATAGATTTATTTATTTGGCTTGTGAAAAGAAAACTAACAATCTTTTAAGATTTAGCCTTATCATACTTAATTGCTTAAATATTCTTATGTTTTCAAATGTGATTATGTTCTTTAACATAATCAAAGTCTGTTTTATTTATTAATATTAAATGCATTTTTATTAGACAGTATTAACGCTTCGAGTCCGCTTACGTAGTCTTATGTTTTGATTATGACCAAAAAGTGAAAAAGCAGTGTTACAACATTTATTCTCAGATTTAGAAAAAAGAATCATAGCTGTAAAATTCAATATTTTATCGAATTCCATTTTATCGAAAGAACATTATTATTAAAATATTAAATTTTTATTGGTAAATTTTTTGTTCAATTTCGTTTAATTTGATTTAATTTCGTTATAAAACGTGCACAATTTCTAGTTATTATTTATACGATGTAAAGCTATTAGCTGAAACAAATCTGTAAATATGTTATTTAGTTTTGCCTTAGAAAATTCAGTATATTCGTTTGCTAAATATAAATTTCATCAATATAAGTAAATCTTTCTAAGTTTAATATTTCCTGTAATATTTTATCCAATATTTAACTTCCCGTTTAAATTTTAAGCAAAAATTAATTGAAAGTATGATATCAAGAAATTACATTTCTTACATGAATACATATTTAAATAACAAATCATTGCGATATTGAGCTATAGATGTTTGCAAATTAAACTTGATATCCTGCCGTTCATATCGCTTTATACGCTTGATCGTGAATGTATTAATGTACGAGAAGTAGTCTGTTCGACTTTGGAAACCTTTTTCTAAACAATTCTTTTTGATTGTTTTTCATAAATTTGGAAACGCATTTCACTGTAATTTTTTACATGACTTCCATCAAAGTCATTATGTAACTAAGTGGAAAATATTTTCCGTCTAAATATTAATTTTAACGTTAACATTAGAAAAGATACAGAAAACAAACAATTGAGGATTTTGCTTTCTATTATGCTTTACTGCTGCCACTTTCTAATATGGTTTAATAGAAAGAAGGAGACTTTTCATAATTCTTTATCAATTTTCTTCTTCTTAAAAGTATCTATTAAATGTATTAAATATTAAATACTATTCAGTTACGACATAGAATCATAGAATTGAATGAAAATCTGATCACAAGATGAAAATAATAATCGATCGTAAATGAAGGACTCACCGAATTTTCGACAATGTCTTCTATTCGTTTAGTAACACTTTTATCTTTTTTCCTACGAATCAAAACGTAAATGCATTTTATGCCAGGGCATCCACGTAATAATTTTTCAATCAACATTTTTCCCATAAAACCTGTACCGCCGGTTATAAAAAGACATTGATTTACGTAGAAGGTTTGAATCGTCGTTAATTTGTCGATGTTTTCAATTGAAGATAGCGTTTCATTTGGCGAATATTCGTTCGATTTTCCAAGGTCCAAATTCTTTTTCGCTACAGCTGTTTCCTGCTCGTCCGCTTTCATTTGCACTTCCATCATTTCTGTTCCTTGAAATCGATCTGTAAACAAAAATAATAACATATATTCTTCGATCGTTCTTTTTCTAATTTTTAGCACGAGTTCTTCGACATACCTCTTGTTAGTAGTGTGATAATTCTATTAAAAAAAAAAATATTATATTCGAACTTTCGAATATTATTCAAGCATTTTCCAATCCCATGTGATTGATTGATTTTTGTTCATATAATCAAGCTATAATCAAGCTATTTTAATTTATACCGATTGAATGAAAAGGGATGATGGCTGTTGTTACATGTATGCTTCTATAATATTCTAAGCCACTAATTCATTTATAATATTTTTTTAAACTTATAAAGGTGTAATTAAAAAATGGTTTGATCTGTGATCAGTTGAAAATAATTTAGTATCTCCATATGTGTGTCTACTTATATACATGCATATTTATATATGATCGTACCGTTATTGAAGTGCGCCAGAATCTAAAATAATTTGCAAACTAGAAAGTAAATTCTCGCAATATATCTTCGAGGTATTCACCTTAATTGTTTGTCTTAATATGTTTTCTTTTCTAACAATGAATAAATAAAAGATATGATTTCCAGTGGTCAGAATTCACCTTGAATTTATTCCATAGATAAATCGACACGTATGTTTTCACCAGATCAAGCAAAAAATAGATGGCAAACTTGATTTGTATCGCCACTGGCCTATAATTATAGTAAGAATTATTTGACGAGAAACAATTTTATTTTCATGTGGCAATCGTATTATTTGACTTCTACATTGTAAAATTTTCTATTGATGTAAAATAAAAATTATTATATTTTTAATGAACATATGAATTTTACTTACTTTCAGAAGTATTTTTTATCAAAAATTAATTATGTTATCTACGAAGTTATCAAAATCAGTCATGTATCAACGTTACTCGTATGAAGCTTACCGTTTCACTGAATTTTATTATAGAAAATAGATACCTTTTATGTCCACTGTTTAATTTATCTGAACTTGACAAAATAACCTACAGATTTAAATTTATAATTTGATTTCAATGGGTTAAGCTACGTTCATAAGATTTCAACAATTGTGCTTGCCGTACATCTTAAAATGTGCAAAGTTATTCGATTAAACTTATTTGATCTGCCTTTTAATACCTATTCTTTTACGTACAATTTATTTTACGAATAATTTTAATTTTAATAAACGTAGTTTTGAAAATCATATCTCTTTTTAAAATAGGGACCAGCGCAACGGAAGTCACTTAAAGGTCATTTTACGAGTCGTATTTAACATAGTCTGTATTCCATTACGTATTATTTTTAATACGTTCATATTTATATGACGACCACACACACACACACACACATATATATATATATATATATATATATATATATATATACCGAGTTATGCCATAAAAATGGGACGAACTTTAAAAAATGGTAATACATGCTAAGATAATCTTTCGTTCATAGCTGACGAAATCACGAATTAAACATAAAGGTTATAGGTCTTAAGGAATCTGTTGTTATGTATTATTTAATTAATTAAAATTTATATTTACTCGGTTGAAGAAGAAGAATACGTATGCAAATTTAATCTAAGGAAGTGACTTTATACTTTTACGTAAATTCTTTTAACCCGAAATATATGGCTATTTAGTTACGATCACACATTACATTAGACACGCTCGATTATACAACGAAAAATAACGTCATAACATTGTAAAATGCGTAAATAATATTCGATTATAATATATTTTTTTTAAATTGTTTTTTCTAATAGAATCATTAATCAATCATCAATCACCCTAATGTGAGGTGAATGGAAAAATTCGTTCTAAAAAATAGAAAAAAGAACAATCAAAATGAATCAATCAAATTAATGAGATAAGAAGTTTTAAATATCTTCAGGTTTATGTACATCTATACGTTTGCGAATTGATTTGGAAGAGCAGAAATGATGAGAGTTCTAATAAATGCGAATGAAAAAAATGGCTGTTGCGAAAAATGATTTGAATTTTGGCACATCTACCGAATGTGCGCCAACTAACTTATTGTTAAAAATTAATAGAATTCTTTCAAAGTAGCATCCCATACTCCTCACATATTAACACATTTATAAGTGGCGTTTGTCCGTGAGATACTTAGCTGTATACCTCATTTAATTTTCCAAAGTCTATAACTAAATACTGAAAGATTCAACTATTTTAAAGTGTATGAATATAACAAAAATTATTGATTATATTGCTAATATTATACTTATAATTATTTGGCGTTTAAAAAAGGCCTGACATGATCAAAATAAAAAGTTCTTATGCCAATTAAAGAAAAGTTTTTATGAATATAAACAAATTGAAAGAAGTCGAAATTGCGTATCAGTTAGCACTTATTCGATTGATGTACCAATTCTCGAGACGATTTTTGTAGCAGCTATTTCTTATTTCTTCGTCGACGTTTATCGGTACTACCATCATATCGATCTCTAAACGTATAAAAAGTAATTAATAGGATGAAATAAAATTGTAACTAAATGCAAAAATATTCGTTAATTTAGTAAGAGATATATAAGATTAAGTTTTTTCAAAATTTTTCAAAACTTTTATGCGTAAAATAAGATATACAAATAATAAATAATAATAATAAATTCAAAAAATATATATAAGTTTTTGTTATATTTATAAATGTATATAAAAAGTTCATAAAATAAAGAGATTATCCGATCACTTGTGAAAGTTAGTCAGTAATCCTGAACTTGCTCTGAGAAAAATACCTGGACACAATACCTAAAACTTGGCAGAAGAGTGACGTTACTTTAGTCATAAAAATAAAACCTTCTGTCCCCCATATTTCTCAATCTAAGATGGGGAAGTTTTAGTTGATCTTCCGATATTGAGTGAATGTGTATTAGTCAAAGTAAAGCTAGAGAATATGTTCCAGACGAATTATCAATCTTATTTAGAGTGATATTATCTAATTCAATAGAACTTTCAGTAAAATTGAAAGTTTCATCTTCTTTTTTCTTTTGGCATTATTTGTTGCATTCTTTTTTGCCTTCTTATATTTTATAAATAAATTCTACAATGCATCAAATATCATAAAAATTTTGAAATTAATTTTTTTAATTAATGTAATTATTAGTTCGAAGTTGAATAAGAAACATTCTTATGCTGCTATAATATACTTACTGGCTTATAAAACAATTAACGTTTTTTACTGATCGATTCCTCTTGAAAGTACAAGTAATACAAAAGTACAAAGTGAAGCCTTCTTTCAGGCGCAATATTTATTATTTATATAAAAATTTTTTATATAATAAAAATCTTAATCTTATTTATGTTAATATAATTACACTATACCAATCATAATGTATATTTAAGACACAATAACAATTTTGGATATAAAGCTAAAATCAAATTTGTTAAAAAGTAGATATATAAAAATGAAATTTAAAAATTACGTGATATTGTGAAGAGTTATTTTTCAGAATTCTTTGTATTTATTCGTTTCGAACCCATGTGATTATATTGAACTTAACAAATTGAACGTTCGTTAATAACTGAGGATGGTCATTTAACATTTATATTAAGAATCTGACAAAATTATCACATAAGTTAGTATAATGTTTCAATTTTACTTACTAAAAAAGGGTGACCATTGATGTTCTAAGACAATATATTATTTACGTCTTCAATCATAATTAACATAATTTTCAATCTAATTGTTTTGCAGTATTAGAACTTTTCAAAAGAAGAATATCTGATAATAATGAATAATATTGAATATGCAGAATATTATATATTATATAAAATAATAATTATTAATATATATATATACTTTTAAATAACGCACAATCATGTTAAACAGTCAATATTAATTATTTATGTACTAAAATTATATATATATATATATATATATATATATATATATATATATTAGAAATATTAAAAAATAGATAAGCCATAATTGCTATTTCAAGGATTACATGTTCTAACATTTAATACTTGAAATAGATAAAGGTGTCGAAATATTATTAAAAGGAATTAAAAAGTTTATTTTTATTTACATTTAAATTAAAATTCTGAGTTAACATCGAACCTTTACAATAATTTGCCATAAAACACTATGATGTTGCATAAACACGTGTTAGTGTCGTCTCAGGTCTCATATGTAAGTATATCAGGGATTAATCAACTTCCATATTATACAATGCTGATGCAAACTTAACACAGTCTTTTCCTGAGATCAGATTTGATTTAAAATTACTTAAAAATATTAAAAAAAAAACTTTTATCCTATAATAGTAAGACTAAAAAAAATATTATTAATCTATTATGACATATAATTACGTGTAATAATGTACGAAGTACACTTGCTATGTAAAACAAATTATTTGCTTTAAATTAATATAAAAAACATAATATATAGTTTTCTTATTAAGAATATTAAGTAATTGAAAATTTTAAAGAATATTAAATAATTTCTATTTGTTATTACTTTTTCAAACTAGTTATGTAAATATTATAATTCTTAACGAATATCAATAAATATGAATTTCTTATTTTATATACAATAACGATTATAGAAATTAACTAATCTTATAAAATAATAAATCAAAAACCGTAAGAATCTATTAACTTAAAAAATAAATTATCGTAAAATAAAAATAATTTACTAACATCGTTCTTATATAATTAGCACATTCTGGTTTGATCGTTGTATACTATTTCATTAAAAATAAATGATTAAGCTTAACACCACTAAATGATCAACATTTCTATTGTCTCTGAATAATAAATAGTGTTACTACACCAATGTTCTTTACATTTTGTTTCATGAAGTTAATCGATCTAGCGAATGAAATTGGTCTGTACCTAAATTAAATAACTCGACAAAATTCGCCCACTCGTTTTCAATTAAATTTATCATCTAAGCTTTATTTACCTCTCATAATCCATTTCACTATTGTTCTTCTGTAAATTATTTATCGAAATATCTGAATGTTTACTTAAGTCGATTTGAAATTTACTGAAGCAGATTATTATTTGCATAATCTCGTGCCACTTGATCATATTGAACAAAAATAAATCAAGAAGAATAGGAAGGATTATAAATTCTAAAAAAATATATACGTCCATGGTGCAGAAAAGGTTTAGAATATCTTTGAATGAATGCTTTCCAGTTATTTTCCAGGTTGAGAGAGATATCTGTACTTGTACTTATATCTATGTCACACGGACATTACCTAAATGAAACATAGGTCAATCTCTCCTCGCACAAAATTCTCCACAACTGCATAATGCGGATGAAAAAAATCGAGCTAAAGAAAAGTGAAGGAACCTTTCACGTACGATGAAGAAATAAAAAAGAGTTACAAGTTCATCTATACGAATACACTTGCAGATCGATCTGGAACAGTAGAAATTATGGAATTACTCTTAGAAGAGGATGGACAAGAAGTAGCCGTTACGGAAAACGACTTCGAGAGATTTTAATCTTTTCAAAAAATAGTTCACCTTCGTCTCGCTACTGTGACATCAACAGTTGGATCTTGAATGGCTGTAGAGTAACCAAAGTGCCTGCAGCCTTTCAATTACACCAACCTAATCACACACCTCTTTTTCGGTCAATCGTTTCGGAATCTTACACGGGAGCGAGGCTCTTTTTCCTCTTTTTTCTTCAGAATAGGGCAGTCAAACTGCGCCAGGAAAGATTTACTTTAACTTATTCATTCGATGAAACGATGAGAGATGCTCCGAATATCGTTCCTCGCGTCTGTATTTCTTTCGTGGGTTCCTGTCTCTGCTACTGACCCTTGAATTGGATTCCTCTTGTTGACGATAGCTGAGGTATAATAGGGCGAAGCGATGCTGGGTATTCAGCACCCTTTTCTTCTCTTTTACGAATTGATTTATTTAGTATAAAATCGGTGATGGAAATTTACAATTAATAA